GTACTATTTGTATTAGTTAGTAATTTGTCCAATGTCTCCTCTTTGGTGAGTTTTTTTTTTAGGGTTACCCTCAAAAACTTCATAGGGAACCCCCCCCCCCCCACTTGAGAACATACGAGCCTTCAGCAGTACAAAAAATTGCCCAGTCTATTGAGGATCACTAGTCATTCTTGCTCCAGATGAAGTTCAATAGGTTATGTTCAACAGTAACTGGAACTGTCTTAAGTCCATTCTCCATGGGTGACATTTTTTCTTCTGAGAATTCTCTCTGATATTAACATGTCATCCTGGGTGTTTTATGACTTGCTGCATTTTGCCAACTCTGTATCTGCTTCCCCTTCCTTTTCCTATAAGCACTGTGTCATATGAAAATCTAAAATCACTTTTATTCCCAGCTCCTTATCAACAAAACAGTGCAGAGTTAGTACAGAGTTTATTGGTGTGTCAGCATCAGTGAAGGCATACTGTATGTGAAGAACCAGCAAGATGCTATGATAGAGAGCAGATTCATCCACAAATATTTATTTGTATATTATATTTATTACAACTTTATTATTATAATAATTACCCTATACTTAAATCCTGGAACAGATTAATAGTAAAATAAAATATCCAGCTGAAATCAAAAGCTTAGACATGCTGAAATTTCAGTCATATACCTGATTTATCTGGCCCTGAAAATTATGCTAGTTCTGCCAAAATCTCTTGCTGAGTTTTTGTTCTTTTATTTATTCTAGAAATGTTCATTCCCGCTCAGCTGGAAGGCCAACCATTAACCTCTTAAAGGAACAAGGTATCATTTATTTTACTTAATGATTTTGTTTAGTTTTCTTGTCAAAATATGTCAGCACCTGATATGGGGTCTCATCTCCATGGGGAGCTAAGTCAACTTTTCTCCTTTAGATGTTATATCAGAAATATGAGGAATATATCCCTAAGTAGTTTCTTATTCATCTGCTTTCATTGCAATTTTCAAAGCCATTCTTTATTATTGGAAAAAGCACAGACATTTGAAAATCTGGGGCAGTTACATTTTAGCAAGAACCAGCTTTGGGATATTGGCAGGATTTGTGGTAAAATCCAGCACCCTATTTAGAGAAGAAACTGGAGGATCCCCAAATCTTGTAGGGGCTAGTTTCCCACATTTTAAAATAAATCATGCAGTATACCATGCAGACTAAAATGCTGGTCGTGTAAGACCACTGAGCCCAAAGTCTAAAATTTCCTAACTACACTAATTAATATAAGACTTATTCTAAATTAAACAGTTCTGCAATATGGAACTCATGATATAAAGCATTTTTTTGCAAGTGGAGTCCCCAAATTTAATATATATTTGTCGTCTTTGTATGATTTTTGCAAGAAACTGCTAGACTGCTTGAAACAATAGCATTCTTGAATCACACAGACAATATGATAGGATTTTAGGCATCTGACAAATTCTAGTTTTAGTAGCATATAATCCTTCTGTAAAAAAAAAAAACTGCCTTTGGGTTAATTTCAAAAAATTTTAAGTGATGAGACAGAAAAATATAGTATGAATGAATATATGACAAGGGAATACAAGTGACCTCACTCCACAAGAGGGCATCAAGCTGTCCCTGTGCATTACAATACGGGGCTTTGAAACTTTCTCATTGTGTAATTGGCTGCCTATGTTAGGTTCTGACATTATAATTCTACTGATAATATAACTTCTTTCCTTGCTGTTGGGATTCTCAGGTGCTGAGAAAGTGTTGCTCCATGCATTTGATGGGAAACCATCTGTAGCAATGGAAGGAGTGAAGGCTGGGTATTTTTTCTCCATCCCTCCTTCAATTACAAGGAGTGAACAGGTAAGAATCAAGAGAGCAAAGCTTTGAACAAAAGTTCTTTATTCATATCATTGTGTAACACAAACCTACCAGGATCTACAGGAGATAAATGTATGTAACATGATTTAAGTATGTTTATAAACAGACTCCAATACACGTAAAAAAAGTCCCATCTATTTGGTGCTTATTCAGATTAGACAAGAGTTTGTATGTAAAGTTAGCTAGCCCTACTTTTCGTTCTCCAGCACAACTGAAAATCTAAGCAGCATGTCTTTTTATGAGTAGTACAAATAAACCCCCACAATAAACACAGCTATTCCTTTCCATCCCATTTTTGTCTGAAGATGGATATCCTGGTATTGTGACTGAAATGGGTTTATAGATAAAATAATGCTGGGAAAAGAGAGACAAATCAAGTGGAAAAGCCTTTGGTCCCAATCTAGGAGAATAAATAATGACTGCATTATTTAACAAGCAGAAAAAGCTGCCTTTTCTGGAACTGTAATTAGAACTGTAATTCAACATAGCTTCTATCATTCTAGACATTTCCTAAACTGATAGTTATAATAAATATTATGTTTAAAATGCACCAAAATATGATGCACATAAGAGAGCAAACTTCATTAAATGTGGTAGAATCTTATTTTGAGTAAACATTTATAGGAAGTCACTCTAAATATTCTGTCCTGGATCAGGATTCTACATAATCAGTCTGAAGTTTAATTTCAAAAAGGGGCTATTCTGGGTTGAAATCATACACAAAAGAATACTTAATAAATTGGGCCAGAAGTAAAAAAAAAAAAAAATTAAAATCCTAGTCAGAACACCTGATTCATCTTTCTCCTCTGAGGAATCTTTCTTAGGTTAGACCATGACAATAAACCCCATTAAACTCCCTAGGACTAACTTGGAATATGCACAGAAGGAAAGCAAGGTGTGCCTTCAAGTCAGTCTTGACTTCTAGAAACTTACCTGGGCAAGCTCCCCCAGTTTTCTTGGCAACATTTTTGGAAGCAGCTTCCCATTTCCTTCTTCCTAGGGCTGAGAGAGTGACTGGGCCAAAATTATCCAGCTGGCCTCATCTCTAAGGTGGGACTAGAACTCATGGTCTGCTCTCTAGCCTGGTGTCTTTAATCTCTACATCAAATTGTCAGATATTAATCAACTAAAGCATTCATTGCTTAAGCAAAAGGATCATGGATTTGTCAATGGGTCTCTGACTTTTCCAAATGTGTTTTTTTATTTGAATATACTGAAATAGGGAATATAAACTTGCCATCTAATTGTTTAGGCCATTATAAGATTGCAACATTATTTGAGTATATAAAGCCTTCAGCTTGTGGCAAGGTGGATATTTCAATTGTTTCTTTGTGTGGAAATTGTATCAACTAATTAATGGTCTTTTGTTCAAATGTTTGCTTTGTCTGCTTAGAAGCTATAGATGTTAATTGTTCTCTTTGATTACCTTTAAGAAGCAGAAACTTGTGAAACAGCTGCCTCTGGAAAGCATTTGCTTGGAAACTGACTCACCTGCCCTAGGTCCTGAGAAACAGGTGAGGACTGACCAGAGATTCTACCTTGTCAACATCAACAATAATACACACAATGTATCAGTAGTTCAGAGAATTTATATCACTTGAAGTCTGTGGAAATGACAAGACTCTTAAGTGTAAAGAAAGGGGGGGGATCTTAATGAAATTAATTGCAGATGTTGTTTGTACAAAAGTGGCAGATCAACTAAGTGCTTGATCATGCTACCTAGGAAATATGGGAATTGTTTCTAGGTTGGAAAAGCTTATACCGTAAGCTAGTTATGATGTTGGCTGCCTGATCTTTTCAAAGTAGCACAAACAAGTGGGACACAGGCAAAGGAAGAAAAGTTAAATATTTTGAGCTACTGTATGTAGGTGGAAAGCTTAGTATTTAGGCAATGGCTTTACAGAGTAAACATTTTAAGTAGCTGCTCTGCACTGGAATAATGGATTTTGTGTTTCCTATATTTTTGATCAATTGCAATACATTGTATTACTATTTTACATTTTCAATGTTTTTTTGAAGCTGTTTATATTTGAAGTAGCAATCTATATCATATATCTGATTATTGCATGGGTTAGAAATATAATATTAATAGTAGTAATAAGAATAAACGGGTCACCTATTCAGCTTGAATGTCTAAAATGGACAGGTTAAGCAATAAGCAATAAAAATTAGGAAGCCTTCTTTTAAATGTAAGAAATAGGAAAAAGAGGCAATAAATAAGACCCAGAATAAAGACTAAAGCTAATCTCTTGGTGACTGGTTCCAAAGGCAAATGAGTGATGCAAAGAATCAGCATCTTATAATTGCATTTCAGGTGAGAAATGAACCAAAGAATATCTTCATTGCTGCAGAATACATTGCTGAAATAAAAGGAATTTCAGTGGAAGAGGTTTTAGATGTAACAACACAGAATTCACTGAAGGTCTTTCCCAAACTGAAAAACTTCCTCAGGAAATAGCTTATGTTCTATAGTATTTGACATTAATTCAGATTATCTATATAGTAAATGTATGTGTAAATGTAATTTCATAAGATGCATAATATTAAAATATCTAATAGAAGAGAATAAATGAACTGTGGAGTCCTTGATGTTCTCTGAGCTTGGTTTGCTTGCAGACATTTCATTATCCAACTAGGTAACGTCATCCGTGCTAGTGAATATTGGGTTTGCTCCGTTTATATACAGTAGGTTAACCTCCAGGTTTTGGTGGGGGTGTGGTTTTCTCCTCGATGGTTCCTTGATTAGGGTATTGTTTTCTGCTTGATAGTTTGTCTGGAGTTAATCCTTGCTTACATGGGTGTTGGCTGCTGGAGAGGATGTGTTCTGGTCTTTTTCTTTGTTTTTTTATTGTCTCTTTTGAATGGTGTATGAATGTGATTTATTTCTATGTGTCTACTGATGGCTGATTTGTCTGAATGCCAAGCTTCCAGGAATTCCC